ATAGTTCAGAGGCCGCTGCAGCAACCACAAAACTAAAACTACAAGAAAGCCGCTGCTTTTGATACCCTTGCTATCGTTAACAGTTGCTATGGTGACCACCTGTATCCGATCTTGCCAGCTACGACTTACATACAGCATAAGGCAGTGAAGCATGGAGAGGCAGAATAAAGAAACAAACGAGCATTGACCCACCGTTTGATCAAACAACAAAATCACCATCAAACTAGTTATATCCTGTCATACCCTACAATTAGACGAAATGTAAACAAGCCCTATCGCACGAGAAAATGAGCCTTTGCCATTCCAGAACAGACCTGGTGTTGCCTGGAAATTCTAAGAAAGAGCCAGTTCAAATAAGAGTTTACAAACTGAGAATTCAAATATGCGCTCACCTTCTTTATATATGTATATATATATTCTGTGTCGCCCTCTGCTCACTTTTGATTTTTTTCGGAGGTTTACGTCATAAGACAGAAAAATAATGGCTTGGCGCAGACACACACATAAACACACCAACGCACTCACACACAGCCAAAATCAAACGGCTTCTGCCTGCTTTCTGTTTGTTTTATACGCGTCGACGCCGACGTTGACGCTTGCGCTAAGCTGAGCTGAGCTGCGCAAACCGCTTCAAACACAAAAAACACACTTTTGCGTGGTAATTACTAGCCAACTTGTTGTACACCCAAAATATTTGGTGTATGCCAAGTGGTGATTTCCTTTTGTTTTGCTTACTTTTCTTTTTATTGCTGGCTTTTACTTTAATGATCGCTAGGCCACCACTTGTTGCTGTCTCGCCTTGGCTGATACATGAAATATACAAGCAACTGTTGGCTGCTCCGTGCTGTGCCGTACAATCAAACACAAACTTGGAGTATCGGTATAAACAACTTAACACGTAATTTGTTGGCCTTTAGTATCTGGTTATGCGCAAAAATTCATAAAAATGCAAGCGCGTTCCACTCAGCGCGTTGTTCGTAGTGTGACCGTGGGTTTATTTGTGAAATATACCGACTGATGATGATAAATATACCAAAATAGTCGTGTCGTTTTAAAAATATACTGAGCAGAAGATATAGCCAGAAATCTAGCTATTTGCTGCTTATTCGAGAATACTTTACTTCCAGTTCAAAATGTAATGAACTTTTTTCAAGGATATGAGATTATATTCTAATGTATATAAATAAATACAATTTTTTTTATCCAACATTCAAAATTGAATTGTTTTGAGCTTCGGTGGTATTTTAGTGTTACCGCACGCTCTCAACAAGAAAAAACCGGCAAGTTCAGCGTATTTGATTGTCATGCTGTTGGATATGTGGTTCGATTTGATTTGTTAAATTAAAATTAAGTTAAAACTGTTTAAATGGATCGCGAACGCGATTCCGACAACCATGCCCGTAAAGGCAACCGTCCGCCCGGGCTGAAGGGCAAAGCAATTGGGATGTACTACCGTGACCAGGGTCGCCAGCGCGCCAAGGAGCGCGGAAGGCAGAACAAGAATGGGGGAAATCCCGAGCCGGAGGTGCCCAAAATAAGGATGGGCTGCGGTGTCAATGTGCCCGGCGGCGTGCTAGAGCAGGTCAAAAAGTTCATGCAGGACTTTAACAAGACGCCGAGGAAATCCCACACTGACGGAGATGAACAATTCGAGCTGCAATTCCGCCACTTGCTGAGCGTCAATTTCCACCAATTCATTGCCGAGAAGAAGCAGGAAAACTCCACGCTGAACTACATAAACCAAAACTTGGATACCAAATTGATGGAGCAGCACCGGGAGCGACTGCAGGCACCCAATCTGAGGGAGCGTCTGCAGGCACGCGAGCAGCTGCCGGCCATGGCGCATGCCGAGGAGATAATACGCACCGTCCAGCAGCATCAAGTGATACTGATCGTTGGCAGCACCGGCTGTGGCAAGACGACACAAGTGCCGCAACTGCTGCTCGACCACAGCATTGTACAGGGCCGTGGCTCCGACTGTCGCATTGTGTGCACCCAGCCGCGTCGCATTTCCGCCATCACGATAGCCGAACGTGTGAGCTACGAGCGTGGCGAGAGTCTCGGCCAGTCCGTGGGCTATCAGATACGTCTGGAGAGTCGCAAGCCGCGGGATCGTGCCTCCATTACCTACTGCACCACGGGCGTGCTGCTGCAGCAGCTTCAGTCCGATCCGCTGATGCACAGCCTCAGCGTGCTCATCCTGGACGAGATACACGAGCGCAGCGTGGAGACAGACATGCTGATGGGTCTGCTGAAGGTGATACTGCCCCACAGGCCCAACCTGAAGGTGATTCTGATGAGCGCCACCGTGCGGGAGCAAGATTTCTGCGATTACTTCGAGAACTGTCCCATGTTTCGCATCGAAGGTGTCATGTTTCCCGTGCGCATGCTCTACCTGGAGGATGTTCTGTCCCTCACCAACTACCAATTTGACAACAATTCGCGTGGCTCCAAACGGAAACCTAGACAGGATCGCAGGGAGTGCGTAATGGAACACGAGGCCATGATTCTGCCTTATGTGCGTCGCGTGCGTCACATGTACGATCGCCGGGTGCTCGACCAACTGCGTCTGCCCGAGTCGGAGGGCTGTGAGGACATTGATTTCATAGCAGATCTCGTGTACTACATTTGCGAGCACGAGCCAGAGGGTGCCATTTTGGTCTTCCTACCCGGCTTTGACAAGATCTCAAAGCTGAACAAGGCACTCGAAAACCCCCAAGGCTCGGTCAAGGGTCAACACTGGCGTCACAGTCTCGTGCTCTATCCGCTGCACTCGCTGATGCCCTCGGTGGAGCAGCAGGCCGTGTTTCGCCGCCCGCCCGCGGGCAAGCGCAAGGTCATCATGTCCACCATCATAGCGGAGACGTCGGTGACCATTGACGATGTCGTTTATGTCATCAATTCGGGCCGCACCAAGGCCAGCAACTATGACATAGCCAGCAACATTCAAAGCCTCGATGAGGTGTGGGTGAGCAAAGCGAACACGCAGCAGCGCAAGGGACGTGCTGGACGCGTGCGTCCAGGCATTTGCTACAATTTGTTTACACGCGCAAGGGAGGAGCGCATGGAGGACATACCCACACCGGACATACTGCGCTCCAAGCTGGAGTCCATCATTTTGAGTCTGAAATTGTTGCACATTGATAATCCTTATGACTTTCTCGGCACACTCATCAGTGCGCCCGAACAGGAGGCCATCAAGAATGGTGTGCTGCTGCTCATGCGGTGAGTGAATGAATTTCTGGCCAAAATAAAATCTAATTGAATTTATTCCTCCAGCATTGGTGCGCTGGACAAGGCTGGCATTTTGACACCCCTCGGCGTGCATCTGGCCAAGCTTCCTGTGGATCCACAAATGGGCAAAATGATGCTCATGTCGGCGCTCTTTTGTTGCCTGGATCCCATTACCTCGGCCGCGGCGGCGCTCTCCTACAAGTCGCCTTTTTACACGCCCCTCGGGCAGGAGAGTCGCGTGGATCAGGTCAAGCGGCGCATGGCACACAGTGTGCGCAGCGATCATCTCATGGTGCACAATACCATTTGTGCCTATCGCAAGAGCGGTCGCAGTGGCGATAGAAACTTTTGCTACACAAATTATCTCAGCTACATGACGCTGCAGCAGCTGGAGCGCATGAAGCATCAATTTGCTGAGTTGCTGTGCAATTACAAGTGGGTTTCAGAGTTATAATTGTAATCTTAAATATGTATGCTCATCTTTTGTTCTTTGCAGATTTCTTAGCTCTCCTGGCTTGCTGGATAAGTCATCCAATATTAATTCGGAGAAGATTCCGCTGCTGAGAGCTATCATTGGAGCGGGTCTCTATCCTAATATGGCTTACTTGCGGTAAGATTGGGGGATCTTAAACGCTCTCTCATGGGTCCAAATTAGTTAGAAATTTGAGTCATAAGTCGTTCCTTTTTGTGGCAGTGAAACGAGCGAGCAAGCGAGCGTTTTGTTACATGTTGCGAGAGAAATTTCTCAGCGAGACGTTGGCTTGTCGTTGTATCTCCTGTAAAGATGCAAAACGAACTCGTTGAAACTTAACAATTACCAATGAAAATCCTTTCATTTCCCATCATTTATCCCTTAGCAAAGCGCGTCGCATCAAAAATTCGGTGCGTGCTGTCCACAACATGTCCACGGACGATGGCAAGCGTGTCAATTTCCATCCGTCCTCTGTGAACAGCGGCGAAAGCAGCTTCGATTCGGATTACTTTGTGTATTATCAGCGACAGAAATCCTCATCGTTGTATCTGCTCGATTCCACAATGGTCTTTCCCATGGCACTCATCATATTCGGCGATGGCGTGGAGGCGGGTGTCGCCGACAGAGTGCCGTATCTATGCGTGGCCAATACATACTAGTGAGTGCAGCTCTAAAATCTTGAAAGATCAAACTTAAATGTGATTTTCTTGACAGCTTTAAATGCAATCCAGAGACTGCCAAAGTGGTGCTGGAGCTGCGCACTCATCTGGGTCGATTGCTGCTCAAAAAGGCGTTGTACCCTGCACCCATAGAGGAGCATGGCGAAGAGAAGCAGTTGATTAAGTAAGGGCATAAATCTTAGACTATAAAATTAACAAGATGTGGCATGAGGCAGCTGTCCCTTTACTTTTGAGGCCTTTATGGTTTCGGGCAGCTGAGTCGGTGCCCAAATCCAAAGAACAATTTTCAAGTTTTTTTTTTAAAAAACAACATACATGTCTTGTGCATGAATTTGTAATTGAAGTACCTGTAGCAAGCGCTGTCCAACCACCAACAACTGTTAGCTTTTTAATCTTTGGCTTAGAAAAAACCTTTTTCTTGGCAAATTTTTAATGCAAATTCCTTTTGCTTTTGCAGAGCCATCGAGTTGCTGCTTTCTTTGGATGAAAAACTGGATCATGATTCATTTTCTTCCGATGAAATTGATGATATATAAACGAGCAGAAGAGGCACACGCAGGCTGAGAGGCTCTTTAGCATAATTTAATGCCAATTTATTGTTTTTTTTTGTTTGTTTGTTGTATAGTCGATTTGGTATATTACCAGAAAAATATAGAGCTATGCATGATCAAAAAATAAATTATGTGTGTGTGAGTCTGTCCAGTGATAAATCTTATTCGTCTTCGAGCAGCGCAAAAACATTACGCGAGCGTGGAGCCTCGTCCTCCTCGATGGCGCAAGAGTCTTCATCAGCATTGGTCTCATCATTCGAGCTATCCTCGTCCTCATCCTCGCTATCAGCAGCTGCAAGAGAAAGGTTACTAAAAGAGGAGCTAGATATTGCAGCAGCCAACTCACTGTCGGAGCACACGGAGGAAGTATCGCCATTGGTCTCGCTCTCTGGCTCATCCTGCAGCTCCACTTGCTGGTACTTCTTCACCTCCGGCACATCGGCATGCTGCAGCCAGTGCTCGCGACGTGCATCGTAGCCTGGGGGATAGAACTGCAGCACCAGCTGCTGCTGTCCGGCCAGGCACATGCGCAGAATGTGATTGGCCGCACGATAGCGATCCGGGCGGGCTGCCTTGGCGGTGAGAAAGCCGCGCTTGTAGGCCCACGCATCGGAAATGGCCACCGCCGACCACTCGTCATAGTCCTCGGGCAGCTGCAGGCGCAGCAGCTGCGGCAGATTCACATGCTCGCCGAGAAACTTCAGCGCGCGATAGGGCACCGCCAGCTGGGAGATGGGAAAGCTGCCGAGCAGCACTTGCAGGCACTTTGGCGTTGTCGAGGGAAAGACTAGACCCGGGCAGTCGCACAGCCGCACGAGTGGCGTCAGAAAGATGGTCTGAAAGTGTTTGGTGTGCCCGGGCGTGCGACTAACGCTGACCACTTTGCGTCCTTTGAGGGCATTGATGAGCGAGGACTTGCCCACGTTGGGGAAGCCAATGCAGCCGATGGTCAGCACTCCACTGTGATATTTGACATGCTCATGGGGCGTGGTGTCGATGCTGCTGCTGATCTTTAGCTCCCCCTCCACGGCGGCAGCGACATCCTCCAGTATGTCCAGCTGATCGCTGCGCATATCATCGCGTATCTTTTGCTCCCACGCGGATAGGTCCACCTCGGACTGCACATACCGCTGGCACTCGCGATAAATGTTGTACACGCCCTCCATGCTGCGTTTGTGTGCCTGGGGACCACGCTGGCAGCCCTTGCGTGAGCGTGGCAAGAAGGAGGCAAACATCACGACAGGCAGCTGGGGATAACGCTCCTGGAAGTACGCACGCCAGGCGACAACCACCTGCGGCTCGACCAGATCCACCTTGTTGAACACCACAATTGCATGCTTCTTGAGTGTCTTGATGATGTAGTCGTACAGGGAGGGTGGAAACATCAACGTGGCATAGCGCACATCCACAATGATGAGCAATATATCCGAGAATTCCAGCACACGCCACAGCTGACGCCACGTCTCGAGGTTCAACTCGAACAGCGAAAGTTCCTTGGAGTCGCCGCTGCGTTGCTTCTTTTGCAGCTCATCCACATAGTCCTGGGGGCAGCCAGAGTTGCACAATTAACTAACGCACACAGTTACACATGCCCTGAGCCATGACCTACCTTAAAGTAACGGTTCTCACAGCGGTCCAGCTGTTCTTTGGTGCTCGACAAACTCCAGGGCGGACGCACGGGAAAATCACAGCCGGCAAAGTAACGCTCATCGATTTCGCGCTCTATCGGACTGAGCGTCTGCAGTGGCTTGAAACCCTCCAGCTTTAGCTGCTCCAGTTCCTTCTTGCCCTCCTGGTAGAACTGCAAATTGTAGCGATTTACATTCTTGTTGCGATTGCCACCGCGAGCAAAGGGCTGCTCCATGAGCTTGCGCGTCGTTTCGGGCACATCGCTGTCCTCGTAGGATTCCTGGGCACTGCGTAAATACTTGGGCGGACCTGCCGGCAAAATGACAATTGTTGGTGTTGGTTCGTGGGATTTTTGATTTCTTTTCTTTTCTTTCTCTTATTGGACGGGGCGGGGGGCGTACCTTTTGTGTTGCGTTTCTGCAACATCTGATCCTTCTTCTTCTTGCCACTGAAGGCTACCTTGCGTCTCTGCTGTGGCATTGCGGAATGTTTAGTTAATTTCGGTTACTGTTTCTGCCTAATTTTCATTAATTTAATTCTGATTAAATGTTATTGCGGCTTCCCCTTTGTACCGACATTCCGTTGCTGGGTCAGGCAACCAGGGCTGCTCCAAATTGTTGGCAGCGCCAAATCAGTGATGGCAGACTAGAAAAAAAGCTGAATTATTTAACATGGAATTTAAACACGAAAAATTGAACAAAATGAACTAGAATATGCAATATTTTACAATAAGTAACTAAGGTACGTTCCAGTAGCACATCAGTTACCGCTAGTAACCATTAACTTTTAATGAATAGCTAAAATCCTATAATTTTCTTACATTAAGAACAAGCCAAGTTGACAGCACTAATGCAATGGCGTCCAAAGTGCAATTAAGCCTCGTACTAGCACTAGTACCTACTAAAAGACTTGCAGCCTTTGAAATATGCCGCTGAAAGGCATCAAAGTATTGGAATTCGTTGGCCTGGCGCCTGGTCCACTGTGTGGCAAAATTCTGACGGATTTTGGAGCCACCGTCACGCGCATTGACAAGGTAAACAAAGCAGTTCGAAATTCCATCCTTTGTTTAACTTTACTTAAACTTAAAGCTACTCGACAATCCGTTGGATGTACTGCAGCATGGCAAGCGCACAATGTGTGTCAATGTAAAAGACCCCGCGGGACAGCAGCTGGTGCGTCGACTGGCCAGAAAATGCGATGTTCTCATCGAACCCTTCCGACCCGGCGTCATGGAGAAACTTCACTTGGGTCCCGCCGAGTTGTGTGCAGAGAATCCGCTCTTGATTTATGCCAGATTGACTGGTTTTGGTCAGCAGGGACGTCTGGCGGCACGTGCTGGTCACGATCTAAACTATGCAGCCATTTCGGGGGTGCTGTCCATGCTGGGCCGCAGCCACGAGAAGCCCACGTCGCCGATTAATCTGTTGGCTGACTTTGCCGGCGGCAGTGTGATGTGTGCCCTGGGCATTTGCCTGGCCCTGCTGGAGCGACACAATTCCGGCCGTGGGCAGGTTGTGGATGCTTCCATGGTCGAATGTGCTGCCTATGTGGCCAGCTGGTTGTTCCTGTCCCGAGATCTGCACATTTGGGGAAAGCAGCGTGGCGATAACATCCTCGATGGCGGAGCGTACTTCTACGACACCTACGAAACAAAGGATGGTCTCTACATGTCTGTGGGCGCACTGGAGCCGCAGTTCTTTGAGCTGCTCAGGCAGCGACTGCAGCTGCCAGAGGATCTGTCGCAGTTCGGAGACGAGCATCAAGAGCGTGGCAGGCGACTGCTAACGGAAGCATTCCTCACAAAAACCCAAGCAGAATGGTCGCAGATCTTCGAAGATGTTGATGCTTGCGTTTATCCCGTGCTGGACTATCGAAAGGTTAACCAACACACGCACAATAAAGAGCGGGAATCCTTCGAGCTGCTCGGCGACACAGTGACGCCACGTCCCGCTCCACGATTGAGTCGTACGCCTGGCAAGCTGCCCAAGGCGGAAAACACCAGGCAGGCAGAACTGATCGAGGAACTGGAGCTGAAACCCGCAGAACTGAAGCAATTGTTGGAGTCGGGAGTGCTGACGTTACCAGAACGGGCAAAGCTCTAGCCTGTTGAAAGCTCCAAAGGGCCGTTTATTGCAAACACGCGTATTAAAAGCTACCCCAATTATTATTTTGAATAAAAGACTACCGTTTGTTTTGTTGCTCTTTCATTCAAAATTCTTTTATTCTCGCTCTTGCACACAGAAACACAATTTACATTTGCTAAAACTTGTCGCGTACAAACTATCAGTCATACAATTTGTTCATGAACAGGTTGTGGGCCGAACTAGGGGTGTATTTTTGGATATTGTGATAATACAGCATAATTTAATAGAAACTAACTTATCGTTTAAATTCCGATTTAAAAGCTCACGCAATTTACGCTCTCTCGCTTTCGTACACGCTCACTTTCGCTCTCTTTCTATCTCTCGACTAAAATTTGTTATAACTATCATACAGAATTAGCACAGAAATATGCGCCAAAAGCACCGCGCGTCAGCTTTGCCTTTAGTTATTATTCATCTTAGTTTCGTTTAAATATACATTTGTCAATGCATATTTTTGATACAATTAATTTATTATAATGCTCATATGTATGTAATGTATATGTAATGCATAAGTAAGTTATGTATGTATGTATGTTTCATGTAAATTTCACTAGTTTGACGTTTTGTTTTTGTTTTTGTTTTGGTTATGTTTTGGTAGTACGTTCCGTAAATATGTTTTGTCCCATAGTCCCGTGTAAAGTAATTCATTGTGAGAGTCCTTAAGTGAGTGTTTTCGTTTAGTTTAGTTTGTTGCCGTTGCGTATTTGTTGTATAAATAGTAAGTCTCAGTTCTCAGTATAAAATCAGTACCATATGTTACGTTTTTCAATTTGTTTATCTTCTCGTTTTCGTTTCGTTTACAATTACCGTTGTGTACAGTTTATTTATTATTTTATGTTTTTGTTTTTACATTTAAAAAATATCTCATCATTTCTTTACATTTCTTCTTTGCTCTCTGCTGCGCGTGGTGCTTTTTTCCTTACTCAATATCATAACCGTACACACACACACACACACACACACACACACACACACTTGCAAGCATGCTCGCACGCACACACTTAGCATACACAGTTGATCAAATCACAGGCAATGTTTACAGTTATAGTTGTAGCACAATTGGCAATTTCTTGTAGAACAGACGACGACGACGACCTACACCCTATCCACACACATATAATTAAGCGGTAAAAATGTGTCCAAAATTGGAGCAACCATTTAACCCTTATTCTAATTTATGTTTTTAAACCTAATGACGGCAAAATAAAATGTTTACAGGCTTAGTTTTAAACAAACTCATGAAAAGTCTGAAGAGGTTTTGGTTTTTGGGTTTTCTTTTATGTTTTCTTATAATTTTTGTTTGTTGGAATGATAAACATACAGATAAACTCAGTCACAGTTGCGGGCACACACATGTTCTTACACTTATACTAGATCTCTAATGTATGTAGCTTGTTATGTAATGTAATGTAATGTATAAAAGGTAGAAATTTGTGCTAGATGAGTGTTTTCTCTAGTACTTGGGTGGTATTTTGTTCCATTCACTCCCAACACTCGTTTTCTCTTTCCCAAACAACTTTTCTTTGCCATAAACAACCATTTGTCAATCATCACATTATACATCATCATCACCATTTCATCATACAACGCACGCACAAGCATCATCTCAAGTACTCATCTCATCAAGTCATACTCAATCAACACACCTGTGAAGAATATGTGCAAAGAAAGAGAAATATATGATTATTAGCAAAATATTTTATGTATGTGTTTCGGGACGCTTGTGCGCAGATTTTTCTTTGGTTTTTTTTTGGTTAATGTAACTAACTTATTTAGATAAATTGAATTTAAAATATTCTATGCATCACTTACATTTTTCGTTTACCACAGCCATAAAGTGCTAGATCCACTCGACGGGGCTGCCTTTGCTCAGGCTCAGGCTCAGGCCCAGCGCTCAGCTCTTCTTCAATAGATTCAGAAGTCATCCAAGAGTCATTCAAGAGGCAGACATAGACATAGACATACATCACCATTCTTCATCTCCATCATTCTTAATCTTCATCATATTGAAACATTCATTGCTAATTTTAGTACATATTAATTTCATTCAGTTTGGCAATTCAAATTGTCTCGTTATTGTATGAGTGTTCTTGATATTGGTTCTAAAGTTGTCATTTCAAAAAATTCCATTACATCATTTTTTTGATATGTTGAAAGGGGTTGCATTTATTTTTTAAATTTCAACTTTTTTAGCTCTCTTTTGGACGGCTGTGCGATATTTCAATTGCAAAACGGAAAATTTACCAATGTTTACTTTGTTTTTGGAATTACTTATTGAAATGACAACTTATTTGCAGGAGTTTTCATTGAAAAAAGCTCAAAGTGCATTCCAATTGAGCTTTGTTTAATGAATTCCATATTCTAATTACAAATCATTTCATATTTGTATGCTTAACTAGGGTCTATTATGCTACACACAATAGTTTGCTTTACATTCAGTTTTCAACACACTTGTATACCTAGTTTTAATTGTAAGTGTAATGAAATGTTTGCAAAAGATTTTAAACGGTTAGTTTTTCACTTGATTTCTATAGGATTTTCGTTATTCTTCATCGTCTCTTCTCTTTCTCGTTCACAGTCGCGTCTTTTTCGTAAGGTAGTTTCTGGTTATGTTTTGCGTTTGCGTATGGAAGTGTTAATGAACTTACGGTAATATAATGTAATGGTCCTAAGTATGTAAGTGTCGTCGAGTCGGAACCAGGTCTGGGCTTTTAAAGGCACATTCTTAGAGGCGAAGGAAGATCAAAAAACTATTTTAGCAAAATAAAAAGATACGCAGTTTTTTTTTTAAGTTTAGAATTGCTTAAATAATTGTTGTGCCGATTCTAAATCATGTTTTTATGTTCTTATTGAAAGATACATTTTTTACGAATAAATAACTTATAAGCTTAGTTTTTTGTTGTAACTACAAATGATGAAAAAAGTTAACTTTGTAAGTTGGTAATAGAAAAAAAACTAAGCAGAATATGTGCAAATTTAAATATTAAAAAAAAAGAATATATTTACAGCATTGAAGTTCGAAATTTGCTAATTTATTTGGGTAAAAAACGTTGACCCTTTGGTTCCGTTCCATCTCTTGTTATCGTCCCATGTCGTTGAATGTATGTAAAATGTAATGTATATTTGTCTTTCAGCGCAGCTCTTTAATGCCATATGTAAAGTACGGGTTTTTTCTAGTCTTCGTTTTTGTTTTTCCTTTGTTTTTGTTGTATACCCTGGTCCGTTTGCTCGTTGAGTTTTAGTATCTTTCGTTTATCTAATATATATTTATATATGTTTTGTGTGTGCTGCAGGTAGTTGCTTGGTTGTTATTGCTGTTATTTTTTTACACAATTTAAATACCACAAAAACAAATATAATTAAAGTCGTTAAGCGTCATTAATCAAAGCAAAAAGAAACTGTAAATAATTTCATTAAGTTAAGGTATATTTTTGTATGGAGCGTAGCGACATAAATTTACTGTAATTTAATGCACAAAAAATATAGTTTTAATTTGTAATTTATTGGTGTATTTTGAGAGGTTTATTGTTCTATTTTTGTTTTTTATATTTCCTAACCGCCACGCCCCAATGCTTTGTACGTCCCCTAAGTCATTTTTGTATTTCGTTTTTTTTCCATTATAGTTACTAAGTTTGTTTTTTTTTTCAGTCGTCTTTGAGTCTTACAATTGTTTTTCGTTTCGTTTTCGGTTTTTTTGTTTGTGTAAATTTTAAATTCAAATCCGTTTAAAATCTTTTTTCTTGTTTTGGTTTTGCTTACAACTATATTCATTCACTAGAAAAATTCTTACGCTTAATCATTTAATATCACACACGCGCGCCAAACGAAAATGTGAGGGGCAGGAGAAGGAGGAAGCAGATTAACATCATCCAAACTCAACACACAAAATTCATTTGCTCTCACACGGGCATCCAATCACAGATTCACACTAGAAATATGATAATTTGGGGATTCCTTTTGGGGGAAAGTGGTTTAAGGCAGTTTGTCAGACTCGCGCACACTGGCAGGCACTCAGACTTGTAAGTAGACAAATACATACGCTCTCTCGATTGCAGTCATATAATCATCTTCATCATTTGTCATTCATTTTAGCATAATCGTACATCAGATTCAGTTGCATTATCATCATCATTAGCTCACATATCATCTCACACGCATTTTTTTTTGTAATTTTTAGTTTTTTCTAGGTTGTTTTATGTTTTGTTTAGATTACATATAAGGATAGGTATAATTACGTCTTATAAACTAGGGTTTCGTTTTTTATAGCAGCTAACTACAAGTTAATGTTTCCAGGGAATTTTGTAATGCATTTAATGTGTTTTTTAACCGATTTTCCACACACTTAGATTAGGGTTTGACATAATTTCGTTGAACAAACTTCTGATATCTGATTAAAATCGGGAGTTGGGGGTACAACAGCAGCCATGCCAAACAGTCTGCCCATAAATCATAATTGTCATAATTTGCTTCTGGCCATAATAGATAATAGATTAATAGAAGGGTTGGGTAGGTCAATGGGCAGTCTGTTTGGGTTGGGGGAACCATTTTCTTTCAACTTAAAATTAATTTTTAGTTTTATAAACAATGTGTCTTAGCATTTACACGTTGCACAGCAACAATATATGTATAAATCGGACAAACAAAACTTAGCAAATAGAATCAGAGAGAGATTTTTCGGACCGGACTGCAAAAATCAAAATGAAACAAACAGAAAAATGTTGAACATAATTTGTTTCAGCTGTGAGTGGTCTCGTTCGTGGATGGTTTAAATAACGAGAATCTACTTACCAGCGGCTGTATTAAACATTCACTCATTGTAGGGAGGATTTTGGTATGGAGGAAACATTAACCTCTGGTTAGATTTTCACTGCGTTATGCTCTGGCTATTGATCTTCTTGATCTCCTTGATGGCCCACGAGCATAACATTTTCGTGCGCTGACCCTTTGAACGCTTACCCTCGGACAGGAATTGTGTAATGACAACATCGTCCAACAGTGAGTGGAGACGTGGCCCAAATGAAGTGCACAAATCGCCTATGAATCCAGCAGCACTGGCCATCATCGAATCGGAGACTTCACCATCCTGTGCAATGCGCTTTATGAAGCCAATGATGTGCATAAGATGCGGTTCCATGTGCATCACATCGGGATGGGCAGTTTGATCGAGTCCCTTGAGACCCTGAATGATGCCAGTGTAAGCCTCCAGCACGCTCTCGCGCAGCTCGGCAATGTATTCGTTCATGTCAAAGTTGCTGGCATCCGTCTGAGAAAAAGGAGTGGGGCTTTAAAGCTACTCTGGGCTAAGGATAATGTCTGCCACTCACCTGCAAATTGGAAGCGGCACGCAGCATCTCAAGCACCACGCTCAAATACTTCAAGAAATGACTGCCAATACTGAGCGCCATATCGCCAAAGGCCGAAAGTATTTGCGGCTTGACGGTGCGATGTAGAGTGGGCTCTGCCAAATTGGTCATCATAACAGACATAATCTCATCGCAGTACGGCACCATTTGCTCCTTGAGTGCGCGGCAAATGTCTCCGGTTAAGCCGACAGTGGCACAGCAGACCTGATACTCCTGATGGTTCTTCAGGCCCATGATCAGCACATCCTTGAAGGCCGGCATGTACTTGGCAAACTGTACGCCCAAGAGCTCCACCAGTGTGGAGACAGCCAGAAAGGCATCCTCCTGCACACCGCCCGATTTGCCAGCACTCGAATTGAACATTGTAAGCAGAGCACTCATAATGGCATCGGATATCTGTGGGGCATCCTGTTCGTGCACCTTGCGCAACACACTCTGCAGCGTGGCACACAGCAGCGACTGCAGATCGTTGAACTGATGACGATCGCTGTGATTGCTGATGTGCGACTCCATCTGCATGACCTGGTTCAAGCGCTCCAGGATAACAATTGTGGTGCGCTGCACCACCAGATAGCAATCGAGTGGCGAATTCTTGATCATATCCATGAGTGCCTCGTAGGCAGCGCCACGCAAATTGGCCTGTGCACCATCCGAACGATCGGTGGTCTCCAGCAGCTGAGTGATGATAAACTCAAAGTACGGCGACAGTGCGTACGTCTCGGGTGTCTCACGCTCGCCAGTGGAGGCGGCATCATAGGCAGCATCGGAGAGACCAATGAATGCCCAGCACACATTGGCAGCGACACGCGGCTCCGACTTTAAGCTCTTCACAAAGCACTCGAGCAACGGCTGCAGATATGTCTTATCGATGGCTGCCTCAGGAATGATCTGTGGAAGAGACAAAAACAAAGATTTAGAAACGGAAAACAGAGGTGTGGCTTGGTGCTTACATCGCAAATGCGTCCAAAGGTCCAGGCTGTGGTGTCGCGCACAATGACACTCGAATCGTACATCAAACGTATTAATGTGGGCATGGCCTGCTCCACCAGCGGCTTCAGCGTGTTCGGTTCCAGTCCATTGAGCACCGAGCCAAATGTCATGACAGCAGCATCGCGGAAACGCCAGTTGGGCGACTCAATGTTCTCCTTGATGAATGGCAAGACATGGGGCACTATCTCATCCTCGCAACAGGTGGCCAGCACCATTAGGCACACGGATGAGGCCTTGGCCGGACTCCAGGTATCCTCATCATCGCACTCATCCTGTTTGGTTAGCTTATCGACCAGCACGGGCGTCAGGAACTGCAGCGCACCGCGGGCATAATGCTTGGACACACGCGCTGGGGCACGTCCCTGATCGGTGGCCTCCTGGCTCTCGATGGCCAAATCAATCTCCTCATCGCAAACATTCGACCAGAATTCAATGCCCTGCAGGGCAACGGCATCATTTTCCGCCTTCATGGCCTCCAGTGTAATGGGGAACAGAGCCTGAGCCATGTAGGGCTCCATGAACTGATAGTACAGCGTCATAATCTTCACCAGACACTGAAGAGCGGCCACACAGATCTGTGTGTCCGTGGACTGGGTGGCCTCGCACACCACCTCCATGATGAAGTTGCGCTCCAAATCCTTCTCAAAATTGGCCTTGGTGAACTCCAGTGAGTTGTGCAGGGCTGTGGTGGCAGCCAGACGAACATGATTGCTGGGCTCCACCTTTCGCATGCCATGAATGATGGCCGTGAGCACCTGATTCGATTGATTCTCCATGACGCCATAGCGTATGTCCTGGCAAATGTAGCCAATTGCCTCCAGGGCTGACTCGCGGTGCATTTCGCTGGATCCCTCGCTGACCACCTTGTTCACCAGGGTCTGAATGACCATGGGCCAGCGATTGATGGGCAACTCGATGACCGCCACATAGGCCACGCACTGAGCGGCGCATGATGGACGCGTGTTCTCCGTACCCAAAGCATTGAGAATCTGTGAATAAAACAAAGCAAATGTTTTGGTATCTATGGGGAGCGGTGGCTTCTTTCTGCACTCACATTATTCTTGATTAGTTCACGGATCTCGTTGGGGAACTGATGCCAACGCTCCTGATGCTGTTGCCGCACATTCTCGTCCTTGCTGGTTAGGTGATTCTTGAGCTGCAGACCGGCGGCCATGCGTGCCACGGCGCTGTTTGTCGTATTGACCAGAATCTCGGACAGCGCCTTAAGGAACTCCGGCAGATTGCTGGCCGCTGCCTGCTCCAAAAAGTTTTTCGCCGACAGTAGTTCATTTTTGTCTGGGGAAAGAGTATATGTGTGAGGTTAGTGCTAGGGCTTCACGCAGACTTTATCACCAACCGGAAGAACTGGTTGTGGGACTTATCGGGGTAGTAGGCAAGAAAAATGATTTCCTCCCACCAATGCACACATGTACACACACGCGTGTGTGAAATCTTTAAGATGACGCACGTTTGTGGCTTGGAGGGAGGGACTGGCATGATTCTGTGTAGGATCTGCCCCTGTTTGAGGTTAGGTTCGTGCCAATTTATAAATCCTTAATCATTGTACGTAAAAATGCATACATTCATAAAAGTATATACGTGTATGTGTGTATGCGTGTGCACCTAGCAACGAAACATATGCTATCCGACTCGAGTATTGCAACCCTGCGCAACATACAACGAGCGGCGCGCGCGTCCCTCCCGCCAAACGACAGCAGAGACAACCCAAAAAAATGGCCCTGAGAGGCACCTATACTTGTGTGGAAAATGTATGCCCAAAAAAAGGGGTTGGGGGTCAGCACTCACCTGGCGACACTGTCTTCTCCAAAATAGCAATCAATTGCAGCGTTATGTCGGAAGTCATTTTGCGTTTTTTTTGTGTTTTTTTATTACTTTCTATTTCGTGCAGACGTCTCGAAGAGGCCAGGCGGACGGGGGATGTTAATATGTGTGCTTCTGCCTGTCTGTGTGTGTGGGAATTTGCGTAATTTTTGACAATTGTCCGAGAGCAACTGTAAAAAGAATAATATTACGAATAAATATTGCAATACGAGGGGCTGGGCACCAGTGGGGGGAAGATTGCAACACCTTGAACGTCAGCGAATTGATTTTTTTCGCTTTCAGCTCTACACGACTACACACGCACACACGCAGTAAAAACTCACTTTTTTCGCTGTTGCTTTACGATTCACCTTTGTCTCGTCTGCTTGCGAACCTTCCCCACCTGTCGGATAAACGCGCGGAATGCCAGGCCAAATTGATAGTCCACTTACTTAGGATTGGATTTAATAAGCGGTCAAGTTGGGATTAATATGGCTAGATGCCTTTTTTTGTGGCTGCCTTAAAGCGAATTGAAAGCGAAACAGGCCGGTTCTGAGTAATTTCACACACATGTGAAGCCTCGCAATCGATGGCAACTCTGAATGCAATTCTGGCAGTTGTATTTGAATATCAAAAGAAGATTAACAAAAGCGCTAGAAAAACACAAGCTCGAAGCGAGATATTTATGAATTGAACTATTTTGTCAAGCTATGCTTGTTTCCTTATTTCGTAAATTTACTTTGATTAATAAAAGAAATGTATATTATTGAGACAACCATAACCAGTGATGCCATATTAGCATATTGTTGAGGACCAAGAACGAGAAATCTGTGTGAAATTCGAGAAGCTCGAAATCTAGATTTGTATACCCATATAATGTATACATATATATTCAAAGTCGAGTTGTATGATTTTCGTTGGTATATTTTGAATATGAGAAGGTATAAGCACCTAGTGGTATAAGTCCGCAGGCAAACTGACTACGTCGAATTCCATTTAGGGCAGTCATATTTTTAAAAAATATCATATCACAATATAAAATATATATCACTGCAAAAATATCGATATATTGATATTTTGATATATATTTGACAACCCTAATTCCATTTTGAAATCCCAGGTGGCAACGCCTGACTACGCAGTGCTGACGTTCGGCCCAAAAAAAAGGAAACGTAGGTGGAAAAGTAAGAAAAACACGTAAAACACACGGCAAGAAACGCAAAAATAGTTGCTGCACTCGTCCCCCATCTGTGTGTGCAACGTGTGTTAACCTGCCAGTAAGCATACATCGGCCAATCTCTCTGGGAAACCATTCGCCAACACACCGAAGATGATCCTGCATTCTGGTCCGCCACGGGGCCTGTCCCCGCTGCTGTTGTTGCTCCTGCTGCACACGCTGTTGACATTGGGTGGTGCCTTCTATTTGCCTGGCCTGGCACCGGTGAACTTTTGCAAGAAAACCGATACGTCCAGCACATGCAAGGTATGTACAAATACACTAGCCTACAAAAGTCTCGATTTGTGTCGGTGTTTGTGTACGTGTTTGTGTGTTTCTGTGTTTTATGCCTTAACAATTAGCAAAAGGGCAGTGCAAGTGCTGATAAATTCCACTAATGGCTGCGGGTAAAAGGCGGAAGCATACCGATAAGGTTCAGCAATGTGTGTGCCATGTCCGCTAAGTGCTCGCTGCTGGCTGCTGTCTGCTGACGTTGCTGCTGTTTAGTCTTAGACATGCTTTAATATCATAGCTGCCGTCTTGTTGGTTCAGTTGGCCAAGATACCATACCTCACCATTATGATGATCTAAACATTATTTGTTCGGCCTTATGCGCTTGTTAATCGTTTCGTTTACGCCGCTCTCAAGCAATAGTTTTGCAGATAAAAAAGAGGCAGAGGCAGCGCTCCAGATAGCATAAAACCAATTGAAACTGTCGCACATTTATCAACATATTCCCCTGATTGATGTTGTTTTATTTCCCATTTTCTAAAACCTTTTTTGTTTTGTTCGCAGTCGGATGTTATCTTGTATGTGAACCGCTTGAATACTGAGGAATCGGTCATACCCTATGAATATCATCATTTTGATTTCTGTCTGGGCATAGAGGAGAACTCACCCGTGGAGAATCTCGGACAGGTGGTCTTTGGCGAGCGCATACGCCCGGGTCCATATAAAATTCAGTTTCTGGAGAATCAAGCATGCGCTGTGGTAAGTCGAAGCTCAGGGCAAGTCCCAAGGAGTTCATCAATTTCAAGCACTTTCTGTGTTTCCCCCCTGTAGGCCTGCACCAAGGAGTACAAGGGTGGCGATCCCATCAGCAATCGTCGCATGATGGTCCTCAAGAAGGGCATCAGCTTGAACTATCAGCATCATTGGATTGTGGACAATATGCCGGTGACCTGGTGCTACCCCCTGGAGAATGGCAAACAATATTGCGGCACCGGCTTCCCCATGGGCTGTCTCGTGCGCACCGATGGCGAGGGCTGTCCCATCAACTCCATCTACAACCAGCCCATGCATTACTATCCCTTTAATCATGTGGATCTGGAGATAACCTATCACAGCGGACAGCTCGAGGACTGGGGCATCGGTTTTGGCAACAGTGGCAGGATTATCTCCGTGAAGGTTACACCCAAATCCATCAAACACACCGATCTCAACTCAGTCAACTGCCTGAGCGCCGAACCGCTGGCCATAAGTGAGACTTCCCTGAAGACCGGCGAGCAGCTGAAAATTATCTACACGTACAGCGTCAAGTTTGTGAAGAATGATGCCATCAAGTGGTCCTCCCGCTGGGATTACATTCTCGAGTCCATGCCCCACACGAATATTCAGTGGTTCTCCATTCTCAATTCCCTGGTGATTGTGCTCTTCCTCAGCGGCATGGTGGCCATGATAATGCTGCGTACGTTGCACAAGGATATTGCCAGATATAATCAGATGGATAGCGGCGAGGATGCCCAAGAGGAATTTGGCTGGAAGCTGGTCCATGGCGATGTGTTCCGGCCGCCACGCAAGGGCATGCTGCTGTCTGTTTTCCTGGGCTCTGGCATCCAGGTGCTCGTCATGTCCATGATTACCTTGGCCTTTGCCTGCTTGGGTTTCCTGTCGCCAGCTAATCGCGGCGCTTTGATGACTTGCTCCATGGTTTTGTTTGTGTCGCTGGGCACACCCGCTGGCTATGTGTCGGCGCGTATTTACAAGAGTTTTGGCGGTCTCAAATGGAAGAGTAATGTTATACTCACCTCGATTGTGTGTCCAGGGTGAGTTCAGGCAGATATTTAACAATGCTTTATATTAATCTTCCCTCTTGCAGCGTTGTCTTCTCGCTGTTCTTTGTCATGAATCTGGTGCTGTGGTTTGAGAACAGCTCGGGCGCTGTGCCCTTCAGCACTTTGATTGCCCTGCTGGCTTTATGGTTTGGTGTCTCCGTGCCGCTGACATTTGTTGGGGCTTACTTTGGTTTCCGCAAGCGCGTAAGTAGACCACAACTTCCACTGCTATGCCTACTAATGCTCTGTGTTCTTTGCAGGCCCTGGAGCATCCTGTGCGCACCAATCAGATACCACGCCAGATACCCGATCAATCGATTTATACACAACCCATACCCGGCATTGTGATGGGCGGCGTGCTGCCATTTGGCTGCATTTTCATCCAGCTCTTCTTTATACTGAGTTCGCTGTGGTCAAGCCAGATGTACTACATGTTTGGCTTTCTCTTTCTGGTCTTTCTTATACTGGTCATCACGTGCTCGGAGACGACCATTTTGCTGTGCTATTTCCATTTATGTGCCGAGGATTATCACTGGTGGTGGCGCTCCTTTCTCACATCGGGCTTTACGGCTGTCTATCTATTTATTTACTGCTGTCACTACTTCATCACGAAGCTCTCGATCAAGGATAGTGCCTCGACGTTCCTGTATTTTGGCTACACAGCCATTATGGTCTTTCTTTTCTTCTTGCTCACCGGCACCATTGGTTTCTTTGCGTGCTTTTGGTTCATACGAAAGATTTACAGTGTGGTGAAGGTGGATTAAATGCTGGACCATGGATGGAGCGGCAGGATCGAGCGAGAATTGTGTGCAAGAAATGTATTTTTGTATTTGTTTAGCCACAAATTTACACTTAAGCCTAATGTGTGTGCGTGTGTGTGATTTCAGCGACAGTTTTTCTGTTTACTTACGTTTGATGGATAGATATACATATTTAACTGTGTATGGAACGAAGCGCGCAATAATCTTTAAGTAAAAACATTGATAATGATCGCCCCCAAAACATTTTCTGTAAACGATTCCAGCAAAAACTGTATTCAAATTTCGTACTTTAAGCGTAGGCAAAACCCAACAGAAAGTACTAAATCTATGCAGCAGTGTTTAAAGTACTTTAATTTAATATTTCTACCTTGCTTTATTGTTAAATCAAAGCCTAAACAACTGTAATTAGTGGCTCGTCTTAGCTATAATTCGAGCGAATTTCAATTTTTCAAGCGTGTGTGTAATATTTTACTTTAGTTTAAACTTTAATTTAAATCTAACGTTTGCGACTAAAGAATAAACAAACAAAACAATATATAAATATAAATTATAAAGTGGAACCCTCGCTGGCGCTATATAAAATAATTTTTACTATTCTGCAACCCTTGACTGCACTTCTGTGGCTTCTGCCAGCTCGCTCTTGTGGCAGACACACTCGGGCCTCAGGCATTTCCAGCTCAGCGTTTGGCCATGTCAGAGACTGTGGACAGCGATGTGGATGAATACGATGAGCTATCGGAGCTGCGACAACGACAGAAACCCCAAGCTCAACCTTCAGTTGATGTGCGTAAGCGTAATACACCCAAAACTCCAATCAAAACTCACACTCCCTTACACTTCCAGGAGGCCTTCGACTTGGACGACTTGCTGCCGACCATTGGGGAATTTGGCAAATATCAAAAACTTTTGGTCTTTGGCATTTGTCTGCCCGCTTGCATTCCCTGTGGCTTTTGTGCCTTCAATCAGCTGTTTATGGCTGATACTCCGGATGATTATTGGTGTCGCATACCCGAACTGGGGGACATGCAGCTGGAGCAGCGCAAATATTTGGCCATACCCAAGGAACTGGTGAGTGTGTGGGCAGCCATACGAGTGCGCTATCAAGCGGCCAGAGCACTCATTGATTGTGCCAAAATGTCGATACGAGGGTGGTGCGATGAGTAATCAAAATGGGTAAAAAATAGATGATGAAATGGGGGTAAAAACGTGGGGAGACATTTGGGTAAACTTCAGCTAAGAGAAACCAAAACGTTTAGCAGTAAAAATGTTATACAAATGATTTGTAAACAAAAGTATTTTGTTTCTGTTATTTTTGTAGGAAAACGATGAGCTGGTCTACAGCAAATGTCACACCTATGGCGTTAATTGGACGCAGCTGCTGGACTCCCTGGAAGATGAGGCTGACCTGACCACGCTGGAGCCAAACAGCACTTGGCCTGTGGTTAAATGCACGCAAGGCTGGGAATATAATACCACAAATGTGTGGTCCTCCATTGTGATTGATGTGCGCGGCACACACAGACACCACAAAGACACAAACCAAACATCAACAGAACTTCATTTAGGCTGCAGCTTGTTGAACATTTCCCTTAAGCATCAAACCAGCATCATCCTTTGAGCCTTGACTTGAACCCCCAGCTAATGGACCGTTTATCGACAGTTTGATTTGGTGTGCGATCAGGATATATATCCCACGATCGGCCTGGCAGCACTCAACACTGGCGGACCTGTGGGCGTTTACTTGTTTGGTTTGCTCAATGATCGTGCGGGCAGGCGGCTGTCGTACTTCACCTGCTTGGCCACGCTGCTCGCTGGCAGCCTGATGACTTCGCTGAGCAAGGATTTCTGGACTTGGGCTGGCAGTCGCGTCATTGTGGGACTCACAATACCTGCGGTGTATCAGATACCATTTATTATATGTGAGTGCAGGGAAGGCAAAGGGAAGGTTTTCCTATAGCTTAAAGTTCTCCCCTCTCTTTTAGCTCTGGAGCTTGTGGGCGAGAACTATCGTTCCTTTGTCACTGTCATGACCTGCACCTTCTACACCTCGGGCATAATGCTGCTGTCGGTTGTCACCTATCTGGAGCGCGATTGGGTGCGTCTCTCCTACATCACCTCGCTGCCTTTCTATGCGTATTTCCTCTACATGTTTGTCATGCCGGAATCACCGCGTTGGCTGCTCATGCGCGGCCGCCTGGAGGAGGCACTCAAAATCCTGGAGCGCATGGCCACAGTGAATGGGCGACAGTTTCCCGAGGCGGTGCACTGCAAGCTGGAGGCACAAATCCGACGCGACAAGCTTAAGAAGGAGAAGAAAAAGGTGGCCAATGTGGGTCTGCGGGATCTCTGTCGCACGCCCAATATGCGCTTGAAAACGATATTGATTACGCTCAGTTGGTTTGCCAATGAGACGGTCTATCTCGGCCTCAGCTACTATGGACCCTCGCTGGGCACCAATCAGTATGTGAGCTTCTTTCTGTCTGCGGTGGTGGAGCTGCCCAGCTACCTGTGCTGCTGGTACTTTATGGACACCTGGGGCAGACGCTGGCCACTCAGTTTGTCCATGATACTGGGGTGAGAAATCAGTTTTAATATCTCAAATTCTGTCCTAATTGTTCACTTCGCAGCGGTGTGGCTTGTGTCATAACTGTCATGCTGCCCGATGAGGCTGTCGATGAGACGCTGTACCTCTATCTGGTGTCCAAGGCTCTGCTCTCCGCCTCCTTTCTCATCATCTATCCATTTGCTGGCGAGCTGTATCCCACACAAGTGCGTGGCATAGGCATTGGCGCCTCCAGCTATATCGGCGGTTTGGGCCTCATTGTCATTCCCTTTGTCACATATTTGGGCAAGGAGAATCTCAAGCTGCCGCTGGTTATTATGGGTTTTGTGTCCATGCTGGGCGGCATGACGGGTCTGCGATTGCCCGAGACGCTGCATCATCGACTGCCGCAGACCATCGAAGAGGGCGAGGAGTTTGGCAAGGATTGGCAGCTGAAAGATTGCTGCAGATGCGCCCAAAAGCAGTGAGTCTTGGAGGAGAAAAATCTATTATTTAAAACTAATATTTCCATAAACTCTCAAGAACTGTGCTCTCCCAGCCCACATCTTATGAAAATCTAGATGTCTTGGGTGGCTCCTCCAACACTGCCTCCGAGGCGGAGGTGGAACTGGAGCTGCGTGACAATCGACTGCCTCGACAGCAGCCGCCCTTGAGTTCGATAGATGAGCGCACGCCCTTGGAGGGGCCGGCGGGCATGGCCAGCGGCAGTGGTCGCACCGTTCATCGGCCATCCATGAAGCGTTTGGTGCGTCAGATGAGCATTATGGATACGCAGCGGACCAATGATGGCACCATGCAGCTGACACATTGGATTTAGGGGGGAGCTACAATAGTGGGTAAAGCTCGAGATAAATTGGTAAAAACGAAACCTTAGAGTTTTATTTTGAACAAAAACAATGCTGGATTAATAATGAATAATGCTAGGATGATAAAAGGTTGCCATATGTCAGTGTACTTGCACTTAAGCAATAAGAATATTAAACTGATGTTTGGCAGTTAATTTATTAATGTTTTGGACTCAAAACTGTATCGCCAGGAGTTTTGATTTGTGTCTCTAAAATTGTGTATCCATTAAAGCCTTATAGGCCATGTTTTAGAATAAGAATGCAATGAAGACATAATTGTTTAATTAAGTTTGTAGCTTTACAAGTTTTTCAATGTGCAAAAAATCGATCAATCTATATGCCTATATGAATATTACTACCATGAGAAATATGTACTCAAGAGAGCATCAGAAAATGCAAATGGAACCTAAAATCTGTCATGTAAGATGTAGAACAGATTTGGCCACTTTATGGCGGTTCCTAAAAGTTGCAGAATTGTTAAAAAAAAACCTAAAAATGTATGCACAATACTTGCTTGTGGCAATGAAATGGTTTTTTTGTTTGAGTTTACCCAACTAAGTTGATTTATAATATAGAATGCATTAACAGATGTAAAGCAACAGGTTAGAGCACTTGGCTAGCTAGGATGGATGCCTGCTGTCGATATATCAAATGCAGGAACATTTCCTTAAGTTCTATAACATCATTAGAGCTTAAATTAAAACAAAGAAACAAGCCAGTCATTAAAAACAATAAGTACTCAAGCATTGCCAGCAGATAATTGACATATTTACGGATATTTTTTGCGGATACCCTAAACCATTTCCCCTATGGAAGGAATATCAATATTGAATATTCACTATAATTGTAGAGCATTGCTATTAGCTGTAAGTTGCGTTTAATTCAAAACTAAACAAAGGCAAAACAAACAACAACTATCGCGGGGAGAAAGTATAGAAACCAACAAAATTAATTCCTCAAACATATCCGGTAAAAATAAATAAATACAATATGAGGATTGCGCATTACTGTAACATTACAAACATATCTCTGAATGGTACATATATAAATAAAAATACATACATATGGTACATATTACATGCAATGGCGACTTCTCAATCAATTGACGATTGATTTATGCATTTATGCACGCAATTATGCAATTAATTGTTGTCAAACAAATAGAGAGAAAAAAAAAACTTGTTTATGGAGGAATGGCATCAAATTGCCGACCAATGGGAAGTGCAAGGCCAATCAAGGGAAGCATTATATATGCTACTAGCCGGTAATTGTTGAGTATTTGGGGATTGATTCATGAAGTTCTCGCGGTTTGTTAGGCCATAAAACAGCTATGTAAGCATCATACATTTTACATACATAGTTACATATATTTTTATCATAATCTGCCGCAAGATTTGGTTAGTCCATTGGAGCAAACAAAAATGTTTAACAGTGAAATCTTAGAAATTGCATTGGCTTTGCTTCCGGCCTTACTTTTTTACATTTTTATTTTATCTTAAAAAATATTTTATGCATTTTTTTTATTTTGAAATTTTTATTTTGACCTTAGAAAATTGTTGAAATTTCTGGCTTTAATTTATGACAGTTCGAGGAGTTTGTTAGAGTTGTAATATGAAAGATTACAGATCTGATTTATGCACAGCACCTTCCTGATGACCCACTCCATATAATATCAAAAAATGGACCTAATTTTCCAGATATTTGAATGAATTTTGGTAGACACATAAATGCCTGCATTATCTATAAATTCTAGCAAAAATCCTAACCAACCGGAAATGACTACATTCACAATTATAAAATAAATATAAACATATTTCTGACATTACTTTTTCATGGTTTCTTCTGTCAAAAACTGTACAAAACAAAAATATGTACGTCAAAAATGTAGCAAGACAAAATTTAACCCCAGGGCCGCTCCCCTTTTCGGCACACAATGAGTGATGAAAAATTACACTTTGGCCTCGCACCGCTGCGCTCTGTGTACCGCTGTGCGACCAACATATTGGACCTCAATCTGGACACCATGCTGCGGGTCTACGACTATCTGGCGGAGCTAACGGATCAGGTGCGTCTGGCCTGTACGGGGCCCAAGTTCCGGGAGGCATACAAGATTTGGGCACGCACACACCGGCACACACTCAATGTGGAGGATCTGGAGACGATGCGACTGCCGGAGATGATTAATTTCTTTACGCTGGCGGGGCCGTTCATCAAGGTGCTGCTGGTGGACTGCGCCTGGAACGACAAGGAGTCACTGCTGGTGGAATTTATAGCGGAATTTTGCAAGAACCTCGAGGAGATTTACTATACAAATGTCACCGATGACTTTCACTATGGTGCGATCATGTCAAGGATGCGGCATCTGAAGCGCATCACCATCCATTGTGAGGATGCGGAGGATGTGCTGAGCTTTGACTTGCAGGGCAATCGGGGACTGGAGTACTTTGAGTTGGTTAACGGGTGTTATACGGGTAGGCCTGGGTCTGGGTCTGGGACCTCTTTGGTGTCTGTTTTGCAACCAAAAGTATTGTCTTTTCCCCAGGCAAACATCTCTGCGGCTTTCCCAAACTGCAAACTCTAGTCCTGCGCGAATGTTTGCTCTGGAACTCGGGAGAGTTTGGCATTCCCCTGAAGTCGTTGCGCATCCTGAACCTCGATGACTGCTGCTTCGAGGTGATGAATGAGAGTTTGTACCAAAAGATAGCCGACTGCTGTCTGAACCTGGAGGAGCTGCACTTCTCCGGCTGTGACTCGCACTTTGAGGTGATTGCGCAGCTGCCCAAGCTCAAGCGCTGCACACTCAAGACCTGGGTGACCTCCAATGAGCTGAACATTGGCTTCCTCAACACACTGGCCGAGCAGCGGGGCAACAGGCTCACCCATTTGCATTTGTCCGGCCAGTTTGAGATCACCAATGAGCATGCCCGTGCCCTGGGCCTGTTGCACTCACTCGAGGAGCTGCGCTGGAGCAACAATGACAATCTGGAGGATGATCATTTCAAGTTCTTCAATGATTTGGGTCTGCTCGAGTGCTTTGGCCTGTGCTCCTGCGATTGTGTCACGGATGTTGGACTTATGAGACTGTTGCGAAAGTGCGCACAACTACGGCTCATGGATCTCAAGGAATGCGATCAGATTACGAATGAGTTTGTCCTCAATGCCATTGGTTGTCTGGCCAAACCCACGCCGTGTCGCCATTTGGTCATCAATGTGCTGGGCACCAAGATCAAGGAGGGACTCCTAACAGTGGGTAGCTCCAGATTTTCTTAGGTTTGTTCACATATTTTTTCGCTTACAGAGCATGGCATATCTGGCGCCCTTGAACAATGTAAAGCTGAACTTTATTCGTGCTTAACAATGGCATCCACTGGGACAATGGGATCCACTCTGCGCTTAGTCATGCAGCACAAGGAAGTGGAAGCTGTCCGGCAATATTTATGATCCACCAGAGAGAATGCTCCATTAGCATTGGCATAATTGCTGGGACAAGCGTGTAGAGCACACACTTGGGCACTTTTAATAATAATAAATTCAAAAAAATAGTAAACCAAAATTGGTATTAAAACAATAGCAAAAACAATAACTCCCCCCCTGCCACCCGTACCTTATTTCGATTGGGTTTTTGCGATTCGAATTGCTGGCAATAAATTTCGCATTCAATTGTTAAACTTTTGCTGCGATGATGTCTGTGTTAGCAGCAGGAAGCAATACGAGAACCAGATCAGATCACAGTGCGAGCAGTTCAATACTCACCTGTGGCCAGTCCAAGTTGCATTTACCAACAAGGTGACGTTCTATTCACCACGCTCCCTCGGCTCGCAGAGAGACAAGCGCTGGAAAGGAATAGCGAGCGAAAGAGAGAGCGTGACAGCGCGCTGTGGTGAAGACGTCACCCTGCACATAAATTCACCGTTGTCCAGTCTAATGGTGGTTAGTCATTCGATTTCGTTCTGCCTCCCCTCCCCCCCTCTCTCTTTCTCTACCATTCTCCCTCTCTCTTTGTGTTTTTGCTTTGCGTGCTTCCACATTGCTGCTGGCTCTGACCTCGAGTTGCTCCTTAAATGGTTGTCGGCAGCAATCGCTTTGACTCTCTGCGCGCGGGGGAAACTTGCGGCTGCTCTAATGCCTTGACATGTTCAGGTGTCTGTGTACAACGAGTAGTAGCTCTGACTAATTAGTGTAACTTTAACTGGTCCAAAATCGCTGACATTTGGGGGACCTGGGGACCTGGACCTGTATCTTCTGCAGAGGCCATCTTTCGATTCATCGAAGAGTTTGCATGGGTAAAGCAAATTAAGCGACGAATGTGCCGGGGAGTTTACACAGATCTTTGTGTTCCGCTCCTACTAGATCGCTGTGTTGGGTACACTCCGAAGCGTGTTCAATCACGCCTGTGAATTATTTAAAAATCTCTGCGCTGCTATTTCATAAGAGACAAGCCTTAAAATTGTTTCTTTCTTACCCCTCCTCCTGTGATGGCCATAGAAATTCGTGTTGTCGTTTTGTTGTCTTGTCCCTGTTGTTGTTGTTTTGTTGGGGGCCTTGCGATTATGGGAAATGGCTTTTGCTTTTGCTATCGCTTAGCACACCTCTCAAAATGGATGAACTTTTAGTGTCGCCTGAGAAGAACCTACAAAAGGGGGCGTGCATCTCTCTCTCTCGCTCTCTCTAGCTCTCTCTCTCTCTCTTCGGTAAAAGAAAAAGTGCACTAAATGCATGAAGATAGAGGGGGAGTGGGGTACATGTAAATATTTTGGTCATACATCTTTAACATAATTGGTTTTGCTGTGGCCATTATTTGGGCATTATCATAAGGCCCCAAGGAAAGATTTCTGCCCTATTAGCTTTGGTATTTTTGGTAGTATTAAAAAAGGAGGAAAACTTTCAATTTTTGGCATTTTTTGTTGTTGTATTTTATGGAAATTTTGATTGAAAATCCGCGCTGGATGCCCTTTTAGCTGTGTAAAGTTAGAAGCATTCCGCAAAGTTTTTGTATTTTTATGAATTTTTCATCATTTTTGTGTACTATACTTCATATTTATTTTGCATATTATTTTCAATATTACTTTAATTTATTTAGAGGTTTCTGGGCATATTATTAAAGGCACGACCCAATGGTATTTAATTGAATTATAATATAATTAATCCTGCGAAGATCCCTAAATGCATTTATATTTTTGAGAAAGGAACGGACGACTTTCCATTTCATTTGTGCAATTTATAAACTTTTCTTTTCCTTGTAAGACTTATTTTTAACATTATTTTATTAGTCCCGCCTACAGATCTCTTTGTGGCATGTTAAAATAAAATCTCTTAATTTCTTTCGCTTTTCGCTCGAACATTTAGTGGCCTGCTCAAAAGCGCAAGAAAGAAATAAATGTTTATGAGACACCCACAACCAGTAGGGGCACATGCAGTGAACGACGACCCACATTGTTTTGGATTCGGCAAATTATTTTGTGGCACGCCACATGCTGCAACAGCAAGAGCAACAGCAACAGCAACAGCAACACTAACAACTGCCACTAAGAGTTGCCAACATTAATTTAATATTAAAATTACAATATTTTGGTTTCTTTGTTGTTGTTTTGGGCAGATCCAAATGCATTTTCTATGATTCTTCAGAGATGTTTTCATGCACGACTTTGGGGACTTGTCGATGGATTGTTGCATAGTTGCACTGCTGCTGCCGCTTCTGATCATCATCATGATGCTGACGATGATGATGATGATGATGATGGTGATGCAAAAGTTAATTTGCAAAAAGATGCACACTCCCTAGTTCTTCGGTCTGAACTTTTTCGGCTGCAATCGCCGTCGTGGGGGGAGAAGGCGAATGATTGGCACATTAGCAACAAATTGTTAGTACATCTTATTTAAGCCGTTTAATTAATTCCGCGCATACTCAATGGCCAACAAATATAAACAATAAAAGAATAGAAAAGCAGCTTGAATGTTGTTTTGTTGTGTGGTAACTGGCGACTGTGAGGATTACCTGTAAGCTTGAAGAAAG